TATATATATATATATATATATATATATATATATATATGATGAATCAAATGAGAACCACCCTCATTTGTGAAAACCTTGCAAACCAATCTTATCCATCCATTTTATTTATCAATGGTCAAGATTAGATTAGTTTATATTAGGAAATAAAAAAATAAAATAAAATAAAAGTTTATTTTTTAATTGAAAAAATGACAAAAATATAAAACATATGATTCTATAACCGATGCAATAAGATCATGTATATCCTAATATTAATGAAACAAAATCATTGTTTTAGAAACTATATATATCATCTTATACTTCCAAACATTCTAACCAAAAATGTTAGAATAATCTTGAAAATTATAGATTTGCTAAAAATATCTTCATTTTATGTTTAAATATTATAGACAAAATAACATCCATCATAAAAATAGATCAAAGTAAGGACCGATGAAATTAGATATATCGTAATAAACTTTGAAACATAAAACACATTGTAATCAAATTAACGTAATAAACCTTTTGAATAATAAAACAAATTTTTTTTAGCATTATATTTCATGAATGAAATGGTTTCACCGTTTCATCACTACACAAATCAACCTATTGCTGGAGGAAACATCTGTCATTTTCATGTTTTCAATACATGGATCTTTTTCAATCTTATTATGAAATGGTTTCACTGTTTGCTTCCATACACACCATTTTCTTAACATTAACATATCAACCATTATATGAACTTGTTTCACAACTATAACACTGTACACATTATATGAAACAACAACTATTGTCATGCATTTTTATGTTTTCACTGTTTGCTTCAATTAATTATTTTTATGGTCAAACTATTTAATATTGTTTACGTTTCAAAACTTATAGAAAACAAGATTATCCAAAAAAAATATATTATGCAACAATTTCATCCATAAAATTTTCGAAATTTGAACAAGTTTCATTAAATTAGTGCCATTTTTTCAAATAGAAAATATTTTGTATCCTAATAAATTATGCAACAATTTCATTCATAAAAGTTTTGATATCTGAACACGTTTCATTAAGTTACTGTATCTACCATACCATACAAACTCATAACCATTAAGGGAACAAGATCATCCAAAAAAATAAAGAATTGAAACAATTTCATCAACAATTGTTGATAAGATCAAACAATAACTTATTTTGTAAAAACCGTAAAAACCTTATTATATATATATATATATATATATATATATATATATATATGAAGGGGATCAAATGTAAAACAAACCATTTGTATAAGTTGTATAAACATCTTTCAACCATCTTTTTTTCTTTTCTTTTTTTCAGTTTTTTTAATTATAAGAGTTGATCAGTCATTTTTATTGTGCAAAGTGTTAATATGGTTATTATCATCTCCATTATATTAATTTTAGGAAACGAATTCCATCAAAATGAGAAAGACATGAAACTGTTTCACTTTTATATAGAAACAAAAGTACATGAAACAATTCCATCAAGAAAAGAATTAAATAATTAATTTAATCAGATTAAACAACTTTATAAAATTAAACAATAAAATCGACGGATGATGACAGTTTGTACGATTTGTACAAATGATTTGCTTTGCATTTGATCCTTCTCCTATATATAATAGAGAGAGAAGGTCTAAAAGAGAACGCAACAAAAAGACGAGAATGACGTATCAATGGTTAGATCTAAAATTGACGGTCCAAATTCAAATGTAACCCTCTTTTATAATCATGGATTTAATAGCAGCTTTTTATTATTCACAACAGTTAGATTAAAATAATTGAATGATTCAGATGTATACACTTTGTTCTTATTTTTTGATGTCCTTTTTCGAACCCACTTGTACGATTCTTTGAGGTATCCATAAAACCTCTTTGAAGGGTAAAGTTCTGTTATATTTTAATTTACATATCTATTATAATCTCAATTTGATAGATAATACAACATTATAATAATTAACTGCAATCATTTTTGTGATAATTTAGGATACGTAGAATTAGACAGACGTTTTAATATATAGATTTTAAGGATCTTCAAATTCTATACTACCAGAAGAAAATACGTTGTTGTCACATCCTCCTCCGAATATTATATAGATTGTAGAAAAACTCTGATCAATTAAAATCATTTATTTATTGTTCATTAACACGTCTATGAATCTCGAGCATTCATCCACGAACCAAAAAGTTAACCAATTTAAAAACCGTCCCCCGAAAACCGTACAAGATCTCAAAAACAGAATATCGTAATAAATCGTTCTATATCGAATATTTAATGTATATGATATTTTCATGTAACAACAAATCTTGTAACATTTAACTTTCATAAAAGTACAAATAAGAAACATATTAAATCATATGTCTCAACCATCAACTACTACATAAAAGTGCAATTTAGCTTTTATAAATTGTGCTTATTATTTGGCACATTCATCTCTCTGGTTAGTTGGGTAACCAACTAATAAGTCTTCAGATCCAAGAAGTCAAACTTGAGTACAAGTGAAAGTGGTACACTCTCATTTTTTAACCTTATGTTTTTTGTTTTTTAATTTAATTATTTTTTAAAATAAGATTGGCCATTCAGTCTTTGCTACAGAGTCTGAATTGATGTACAGATTTTGATGCATGGTGTACCAGATGATAATGCAGTTGGACTCTAAACATGGTGGTTTTAGTTCTGGAAATAGTAATTGCATATTAAAAGAGCAAGTAAGAAATGGAATCCTCATTTAATGCAGATGTGCTGTCCATTAAGACACCCCCTCTCTCTCTATTTAGTTTTCAGTTACAGAATAAGACAGTTCATATAACAAAAGCTGAATCAATCTCTCTCGTTTCATAACCTTCAAGCTCTCCATTTTCTTTTACCCTAGGCAAAGAATATTACACATTCTCTCTCTCTCTCACACACATATATATATATATATATACACACAGATATATACACAGAAATATATGTATCAACAAGATTCGTCGACTATCTTTGTTTTCTTCTTTCTATAGATGACAAATAGAACACCTTCTGCTTCTTAATCCTCACCCCTCTCTCTCTCTCTCTCTATATATATATATATGCATATATATGTATATGTTGTGTATGTATCAAAGAGATTCCTCATCTTCTTTGTAGGTTTCTTTATAAAGACGAGAAACAAGGCATCTTCTTAGGTCTCTCTTTCTCTCTCTCTCTCTGTGTGAGAAGAATTTGATGCATATGTTGATGATTAAAGATATCTGGGGTTGAATCTTTTGTGGGTATTAATATTATATGAGGGTTTAAAGATGAGAAATTTAGCAACTTGTTACAGTGAACATGCAATCAAGGTTTCAGATTCATATTGTTCTGGCAATTCGAACCAGATTTATCTCTCTCCGACCTTCATTCCTACCATCCAAGATGAAGTCTCGAGCCTCTATAAAGTCAAACTCTCCACACAAAACCATCTCTTCATCACACTCACCTGGTCAACTCACACCATTGACTTTGCCTTTTCAATCTCCATTAACGAATACCCTTCTAATTCCTCCAAATCTTTTCAGTTCCGAAAGATCAAAGGCTCCAAAAAGCTCGAACCTTTTGACTCGAAGATCGAACTCATTTGGGATCTCACCAAAGCCTCCTACGAAGTCGGACCTGAACCGGTCAAAGGCTACTTTCTGGCTGTTTTGGTCAACTCTGAGATGATTCTAATTGGTCACGATTTCGAAGAATTGGAGTTAAAAAAGCTTGTCTTGGATTACCCTTTTGCCAAATCTTCATTGGTATCTCGTATCGAGAGATTTTCAGGTGCGGAGTATTCGAGCCGGGCCAAGTTCTTCGACACCGGGATTTGGCACGACATAAGGATCACGTGCGTTGCTGATGACCGGAAAATCAAGAATTCTTTGAGTTTGTCGGTTTTTATCGATAAGAAGAATGTGATTCAAGTGAAGAGATTACGATGGAATTTTCGTGGGAATCAAACCGTGTTTTTGGACGGAATGCTGGTCGATTTGATGTGGGACGTTCACGATTGGTTCTTCGATTCAAACTCGAGCACGAAATCGAGATCAAGGGCTGGGATCTTCTTGTTTAGACCAAGGAGTGGATTGGATAGCAGATTGTGGCTGGAAGAGAAGAACTTGGGCGAAGAAGAACAGGAAAAAGTGGGGTCTTCATTGTTGATTTGTGCTTGTAAGACTCCAGACTAAGCTTTTCATCTTGGGTTAATTAACATTTACCGTCTGAATATTTGATGATAGTCGTTAAATATACACGTTTTTATGTCCATTCATTCGGAAAATTCATATTCGTAACGATCAAATTTTATTCACACATTTTATTCCTTTTAATATTGTGTGAAGTTATGTTAAATATATGGATAATTGTGAGTGTTGAGGTATGTTTATGTTTGTGTGCAATTCGAAACGAGATATACTTTTTTATAAGACTCGAACCCATGATCATTATTTTGTAAGAAATATAAATATAAGATTTCACAATTTATATATATATTATAAAGTTACTCGTCCAATGCAGTGAGATATATCTTGATTTTAATATTATTTTATTCTTTATCTCAATCGATGTTATAATATGGTCTTATGTGATTTTGAAAAAACGATGTTTTTATTTTTAAATAAAATATAAATTTGAAAATATCATAAAAATTTAACAAAATTATATCGATATTAGTAGCAAATTAACTATTTAAAATTCCTCATTTTTTGTGTAGTTTTTTAATTATAATTTAATTTAAGTTCAATAACGAAGTAAATTTATATTTGGTTTAGTAATATAATTTTCTTATAAAGATAATGTTAATTATTTTGTTAGAACTCGATAATTATCCTAATTATATTTTAGATTTTTTATATTTTAAAATGATATATTTATTCTCTATTTGATTATGTTTATCCGTAGTTAGTTACACGAATTCAAACATAGATCTTTAATAAGTTGTATTTATAMACAATTTACTTGTAATCTTGAATTTTAGGTAATATGCATTAATAAACAGTACTTCTTGTATAAAAATTGGTTTTTAAGAATTTATGTCAAATGTTTTATAATATAGTGTGTATATATATATATATATATATATATATATATATATATATATATACTATCTTATAAAACATTTGGTTAAAACTCTTAAAAACTCTTAAACCCGTTCATCCCTAAACGATTTCATCCCTATATATCCGATTTCATCTCATATCTGAATTCGTGTAAGTAACTGCAGATAAACACAATCAAATACAGGATAAACATCTCATTTTAAGTATAAAAAATATAAAATATAATTAGTATAATCACTAAATTCTAACAGAATACTTAATTATTATCTTTATAAAATTTATAATATTAAACCAAAAATAAATTGTTTTAATATTAAACTTAAATTAAATTATATAAAAAAAAATATATTATTTATACTATATTATAAAGCATTTGACTCATTCTCTTAAAAACAAATTACCATGGATAAGGTACAATTAATTTGTGCATATTACTTAAAAATCAAAAATACCAGTTAATTATGCATATGTACATGTTTCTAAAGCATACTACTCTCATTGAAATCTTAATTCATCCCTACGATCTTTTTAATCCAACTAACATCCCTATAATCTCTCTTTTTCAAAGAGTAGATAGTCATTGTTGATTTCATATTTAATGGGTGGTTTTGACTTAATATTTCTTATAATCACCGTCAACTTCTCTTCCTCACAGCTCGGTTGCATCTCTTTCAAGGTAAGTTTCAACTTCATGGGTTTCGACCATTGCTTTTGATTGATTTATGGTTTATATCGATTTTTGCTTCTTTCTTTATGATTTCTTTGTTTGGTTCTTTGTCAGTTAGGTTTACTTTCTTGGAACTCGATTGCTTCTTTTTCAAAATAAGTTTCAACCTTATGGGTGACTGTATTAATTGACTATTGCTTGATTGATTCATGATTTGTACTGATTTAAATAGAATTGTTTTTGATCTATTATGTTATGGAACACAAAGTTCACATAAATCATTTGACAAAAACTCTTAAAAACCATTTTTTATACATAAAGTACCATTTGTTGATGCATATTACTTACAATTCAAGATCATAAGTAAATTGTGTGTAAATACAACTTATTAACGCTTCATTTTTAAATTTGTATAACTAACTATAGATAAACATAATCAAATATAGGATAGACATCTCATTTTGAATATAAAAATCTAAAATATAATTAGAATAATCATTAGTTATAACATAATACTTAATTAYTATYTTTATAAAAATTATATTATTAAATGATAAATAAATTATTKYGTTATTAAATCTAAATAAAATATTGAATTAAAGAAATTAACAAAAAACCAGAACTTTAAATAGTAAATTTGATACTAATATCGACATATAATTTTTTTTCCAAATTTTTATGGTATATTTGAATTTTTATTTTATTCAAAAATAAAAACATTATCGCTTTCTCAAAACCACTAAAAACCATATTATATCGACATAGATAAATAATAAAACGAAACATTAAAATTGAGATATATCTCGTTATATTATGCGAGCACCCTTCTAGTATATATATATATATATATATATATATATATATATATGATTTTATGACCTTAAAAACACGATTATTCTCAGTAAATTGGAACATTTTTTTTTTGGGAAAAAATAATATTAAAATGATGAAATTACATGGATTCATTTAATTGTACTTTAAAAATAGTCGTAAATAATCAATATGAAAACGTTTATATGGAAATATTTTACAAGCTTCAAATCTTGTATCATTTCTTTTTTAGCTCATTTTCCAAAGCAGTTAGAGGTGGCCTACGGCTTTAAACTCTTCTAGGTTTTTCTTAGCATTAAGCTTACGTAATGACTTAAACTAATGTACCCATTAATGAAACGTGATTTAAATTTTATAATAAAACAATATAATTTCTTATAGAAAATCCGAAATTTACGTAGAATTTTGTCGTATTAGTTTATAGGAGGAAAATTCCATTATAAACCTAAAATTTGTTAGGGATCGGGAACTGCACATAATGTGCCACGTGTCTCTCTATCACAGGGCCATTTCAAAGGGAGGGTGGCAGAGGTATTTGGCTAGGACCCAAAAATATTAGGGGCGCAATTTTTTTTTTTAAGATACAGTAGTAGTCTAAAAAAGTTAATAAATCAAAGAAAACTATATAATTGTAGCATATAATAAAAGGCAAAAAAAAAATTAGTAGATAATAAAGACTTAAAATATATTAACTAATAACATTAAAAAAGAAAATTAAAAAAAAGTAATTGGTCATTTGTTATATATATATATATATATGTGTGTGTATTATTTATTGTCTTTCTAATTTTATTTATCTCCTACGAAGGTCCAATGTTACTGCCTATTGCTATTTTTATATGTTTGATAGTTTTTGTGCTTCCACAATTCAACGTTAAGCTCACGTGTTTGACATTGCTATATGTTTTTGTTGAATATTTTTATCAATTTCTTCTTCTGTTGATTATCATTATTTGGTTAAGTTGTTTTAATTGCTTTTGTTGACTATTGCTATCTATTTTTACTTCCACAAAATATATTGTACTATTATTTGACGAGCAATCTATTATTCTTATGATATATGACATGTTTCATGGTTTTATGATTAATGCATATATTTTTCCTACTAAATATATTCAGTAACGTCTTCTATATATGTCATGTTACATAAACTTTTAATCCTAACATCATATGTTAGTTGAGTAAACAAAGAGGGAAAAGGAGATTCAAATATCCTCATCAATTGTTGACTTCTACATCTTTCATTGGGATTCCACTACGTCACAAGATTTTATTTAAATGCACAAACAACCGGTCATGCATTGAGTTTATAGATTATATGTCTCATTCGTTTATTTATTCTTGTTGGATCTCAACGAATCATCTTTTCTTACATATTCCTATTGATTCTAATTTGTCTGTTTGTCTAAAAAAACCTTGATAATTTTCTCTATAATTGATCTCTCATTGACTCTCACGATTATTTTTTCCACATGAGTTCTCTTTTTGTATCAAAATAATACATATTTCTTGTTATGAACTACAGAAATTTATCAACCATAGTTTATATATTCTAGATTAGTTATTACCTAATATGAAGTACGTAAATATAAGTAATTTTCTAACTATAATGAAGAAAAATAAGAATTATTTCCTCAATAAATTATTAGCACTCCTTGTATTTAATTTTTTAACTAATGAATATTGATTTTTTACTTATCGACGACCTTAATTTTACATTCACTCAGGCCTATAGAATATCAGGAAGTGGGCCTGGATATTCATCATGAATAACATATCCATGAAGAATATGGAAATGTTACTCATCATGAATCACGCATCCATGATAAATATGGACATGTTATTCATCATGAATCACATATTCATGCACGATAAATAATATGTTCATACTCCTGATGAATATATCACTATCCTTTAGTAGATGGTTCCCAAGTTCTTAATCAGTTTTAGTTGCCACTAACTAGTACGTAGAGTTCAACAATTATCGCATACATAGAACGTGTTTATCTATTAGTTCTACGGAATTTAAACGTGAGACTTTAATAAGTTATGCACATGTAGTATTAGATAGTAAACTTGATTTTAGAAGACTTCAAAAAAAAACACAAGGTAAATGTTTTAAAATGCAATAAAGATTACAGGTTAGAAAGGATGATCCTATTTAGTTTATAACCAAGTTATATATGATTGATATTTTTTCTAATCAGTTTTCCGTATTAATAACTTCGTTTTATAACTTATAAGTTAGTTTTTTTTAAATTAAGTAGTTTTTTAGGAGTTATTTTTCATCATGTCTCGTTATGTCAACTGATGAATCAGATAAATAAAGTTCCTATATGATAGAATCAGGTAAACACAGTCTCTTAATTGTCATCTAGTTTATCAGCTATTGTTTATCAAATATAATTGGTTTGTTAGAAAACTTATCAACTATAACAGCTATTTTAATAATCAATAACAATCTTTTTAGAATCTCTAACTTAATCGACTAATTGTCAAACAGAACCTTAATGGATAACGTACGAATCATGTAACAGTCTTTTCTTAAAAACAAGGCGAATATTGTTGTTCTTTATGTGGATGAACAAGAACTCAAAAGGTGTTTTCTTTTTCTTGTTCAAGAGATGATTCCATTCTCCACAAGAACTAGAAAAGAAAGAAAGGGATCAATACTTTATCTATCTCAATTGTATGTACAACTATCATTGCACAATG